CTGAATGGCCTCTTCATGCTTTGTAGAGACTCTACGTAGATTTCAGGATCAAAATCAGTTTCTGGAGAGAGATAGGGAGAAGTTTCAGAAGAATGGGCAAGTGGGAACCTAGAGGAAAGGGAAGGAGGAGAACACAATGCGGGGGGGGCGGGGGTTCCTCAGTCTTGGGGATTAGTGAGTCCTTTATTGGACACACAAGACACTCAAACTGCAAGTGGAAGTTAAATGTGTTCAAGGTGAGGTCACTATAAATAGAAGGCTACTGAAGTTTAAGGGAAGCATTTTCTGCTGAGAGAGATTCAGACAATAAATGGCTGGAGCAGTTCTGTTCCAATAAAACACCAGTTATAGGGAGTAATGCTAAGGGTTGCAAACCCTCCAGGATTAACCCTGGGTCTCCAGATAGTGACTATGTGCAATTCCGGATAAAAATCAGAGATGTTAAAAGTAAATACAAATATTGAAAACAAGACACGTGAAAAGGCTGTTTGCTTTCTATCCTATTGAATATTGAGCCAATTTGCAAATTAGCATAGGATGGGTGTGTAGGCTGACTCATTGCTGAAGCATAGGCAAGTCATTCGATAAAACCTCCAGGAACAGACATAAAAAACAGAGCTGGCAACACTCCTAAGGCTAAAGGAGAGAATGAGAGGAACTGCATTGAGGAAAAGGTAGAGTGAGAGAAACAGGGTATCAGAAAGATAAAGCTGCATGGGGAGGTTAGCAATTGATAATTAACCCGAGGTCGAGGAATTTTGAGACTTTTGTAGATCATGGTTTTAAAGGCAGAGAGTGAAACTGGATGTTTGTATATGAATTGACAAAGATATAGAGAAACAGTTCTGAGGAAGGGTCACTGGACCCGAAATGTTAACTCTGTTTTTTCCTTCACAGATGCTGCCAGACCTGCTGAGCTTTTCCAGCAACTTAGTTTTTGTTCCTGATTTACAGCACGTGCAGTTTTTTCAGTTTTTATAGAGAAACAAAGATTGGGATCAGGTCATAGGTCATAGGTCATAGCAGGTCATAGGGGCTGGCAGGACACCAGGAAAAATCAAGGACATGAAAGGGAGTTCGAGGAAGACGAGGAGAACGCTGAATTCAGAGAAAAGCTGCGAGGGAACATCGGGAATTACAAAGAGGAATGATCGGCAGGAGGGACAAAATGAGGAGAAAAAGGAAAGGGCCTTAGGGAATAATGCAGAGTAGATTTCATTGGAGTAGAATTGTGAGGGAGGAAGGGTGGGGGAAAATGACAAGATTTTAAATGAAGCTGCCGCACCTTATTCTGTGCCATCCTGTAAAGTACAGCCCAGTGTAGACAGCAGTCAATGCCAGTGAGCTCAATACCTCTGTAACAGGAAGGTAAGACAATCACTCACAACAAGACCAGAGATGACCAGTATCCTAAGTAAGTGAACATTCTGCAGGCAGGCACAGAGGTCATTCTGATTGTACAACAGTGAGGTCTGAGTTGGGAACGTGGGAAAAAGCATGTGTTTTCGCAAGGATTGAAGAGGAGAGTGAGGAAGTTTGAGACTTTGAACAGTAGGCTGGAGAAGGGGGGATGGTGTGGTTGGTGCTGCTGAAGGTGATACAACAGGCAGCACAGAGAACGTGAAGACAAGCATGGAAGTTAAGCATGAGCTTGCTTACTCAGAGAAATTGATGCAAGAGGTAATATTGACCGACGTTAGCTCTGTAAGCTTGACATCAACCACGCTGCAGTTTTTGCAAGTCTGTAGGTGCATTAAGCCATGCTTATTGATTGGCAAGGGATCCCAGCTTTAAAATTTTCCTCCTTAGATTCAGGCCCTCCATGGTCTTGCTATCCCCATCCCAATCACCTCCTCCAGGCTGTTGATCTTCGGTCACCTCTGGCTGGTCTCCTGGTCATTTCCGCTTTCCCTTTGGAGAAGCAGCAACAGACATTCCTTCACTTTCCCAAACATTCCCCCTTCCCTTCAAAGTACTGCGTGACAGAGATTTAGAAAAGACATGAGGAGCAATTTTTTTTTAGACAGAGGGTGGTTCGCGTGTGGGATGAACTTCCTGAGGAAGTGGTGGATGTGGGTACAATTACAACGTTTAAAAGAAATTGGAAAAAGTACACAAACAGGAAAGGTTTGGAGGGATATGGGCCAGGAGCAGGCAGGTGGGACTAGTTTAGTTTGGGATTACGTTTGGTATAGACTGGTTGGACTGAAGGGTCTGTATCCATGCTGTATGTTTCTATGTCGATCAAGTGTTTGGTTACCTCTCCTAAAACATATACTTCCACTCAGATTAAATGCATGTTTGATAATTTTCCTCTTGAGGTCTCTTGAGATATTTTCTGAGATTATAGCTGCCATACAAATGTTACAAAAGAGGAGAGTTTGATAAGCAACACATACACAAGTTTAAATTTTACTCACTCCCCCACCTACACTGAGTGGCAGGAGTGTGTATTAGCAACATGCGTGCAGTGTGTGTGTTTTACCTACTGTACGCACCATCCACTGTGTACTATTTGAGAAGTGGTGAAAGCCTAGTGGTAATATTCCTGGACTGTTAATCCAGAAACCCAGATGATGTTCTGGGGACCTGGGTTCAACTCTCTCCGTGGCAGATCATAGAATCCCTCCAGTGCAGAAAGAGGCCAGATGGCTGACTGCGTCTGCACTGAGTCCCACAGTCCAAAGATGTGCAGATCAGGTGAATTTGCCATGCTAAATTACCCATAGTGTCCAGGGGTGTGTAGGTTAGGTGCATTAGCCATGGGAAATGCAGGGTTACAGGGATAGGCTAGGGGCATGGGTATGGGTGGGATGCTAATTGGAGATTCGGTGTGGACTCGATGGGCCGAATGGCTTGATTCCACACTGTAATGATTCTATTGCTCTGTATGTGCTAGCCATAGTGTGGTGTGTAGTACCGTAATCACAGGCAGTTTATCCCCCCTGCTTGTTGCTTATAGCTTCTCAGAACAGCAAAAAAGTGTGCTCTGTGATGGGGCACAGGAACAGAGCTGCAGAGGGGAAGAGTGTGCTCAGGATGTGTGAAGAAGGATGCTGTGCTGGGGTAGGGCAAAAGTACAAATCATTAGCAGGCTGTAAATGGAGGAGAACAGTTTTAAACCAGTCAACAAAGGAATGCGTAAGTGAGAACCAGGTGGACTTGAACTTACAAAATCCTTGAAAATTAATGCGGAATCTCGCACTTAAAGTCAAATTTGACCAGAACCAAATTTGACCAATGGGGACAAGGGTAGTGGTTACCATTGCAATGAATACTATATCAAATATTACACTGAGTTCTAAGACGCATTTAAAAGGATAGTTACTTCCTAGTTAAACTATTCCTGTTTCACCATTGAAATTTATTTGCTGCCACCTCACATGCCAGAAGGCAGTTTGTTTCGGTCAATGGATTCTTATTTTGTGTAGATGTGTGTGAGTTAATTTTGTTTAAATTGAAGCTAAGTTTGCCTGTTGTTATGAGGGCAGCTTCCAGTCTTCGCCAGGGCAATTGCAGATGGGTGAGCAACTCTGGTCTCACCAATGACAGCCACATCTTGTTAAATAATAGATGGAAGTGGAGAGTGGAAACATTGCAGTAGGTATTCCAGAGTTTAGGATGCAGTGTGGGTCAGTGTGCCGAGTGTGATGGCGGTAACAGGACTGAAGCAGTGTACTGAAGCCAAGACTCTGTTAATACCGGAGAGAGAGGGAGAGTGCAAGTAATTCCAGGGAGAGAGGTGGATGTATGAGGAGACATCCTTTGATTTTGAATCAACATTAATGAACCGTCAGACTGGAAACTCTTCTATTGCCCCAGCATGTGTCATACCCTCCCTCCCCTTTCTTGACCTCTCTGTTTCCATTTCTGGTGACAGTTTACAGACCGACATTTACTATAAACCCACAGACTCCCATAGCTACCTAGACTACACCTCCTCCCACCCTGTATCCTACAAAATCCCGTTTTCCCAATTCCTCCGTCTCCATTGCATCCACTCTGATGAGACATTCCACGCCCAAGCATCCCTTTTGTCTGCCTTTTACAAACAATGCTCTTTCCAACCCTCTGTCATCCAGACAGCCCTCCACCATGCCGCAGCTCTTAACCACACCCCGCCCAAACATAATAAAGATAGGGTCCCCCTTGTCTTCACATTCCACTCCACCAGCCTCCGCATCCAACGTATTATCCTCAAACACTTCCGCCAACTCCAATTGGACACCCCACCTGGAACATCTTCCACTCCCCACCCCCTCTCTGCCCTCAGCAAGGACCATCCCCTTCGCCACTCCTTCGTTTGCGCCATAGTCCCCACCAACCACAACCTCCCCCCACCCCCACCCCCAGTACCTTCCCCTGTAACTGTAAAAGATGCAACACCTGCCCACACAACACCTCCCTCACCTCCATTTAGGGCCCTAAACAGTCCTTCCAGGTGAGACAGGGCTTCACCTACATCTCCTCCAACCTCATCTACTGCATCCAGTGCTCCGGATGCGGACTTCTCTACATCAACGAGGCCAAACGTAGACTAAGTGACCGTTTTACTGAGCATCTACACCTGGCTCGTAACGGCCAGCCTAGCCTCCCGGTCACCACCCATTTCGACTCCCCACCCCACTCCTCCTGCGACATGTCTGTCCTTGCCCTCCTCCAGTATACAGTTACTCACAGCGCAAATTTGAGGAACAACAGCTTATCTTCCCCCTGGGCACCCTGGAGCCCGGAGGACTCAATATTGAGTTCTCCAATTTCAAATAACCTCCCCACCCATCCCCCACCTCCCCTTCCAGCCCCACCTCCTCCCTTCCCTTCCATTCCACTTACTGACCGTCCCTTCCAGCCACTAACTGGATTTATCTCTCCCATCGACCAACCTGGTCAAACCTACTACTGATGCCCACTTATCAGCACCCATTCCACCTCCACCCCTCCACCCCCTTTAATCTGCAGCTCCCCCTACCCCCAAACCTAGTCCTGAAGAAGGGTAATACCCGAAACGTTGACTGCTCCTTTCCTCCAGATGCTGCTTGGCTTGCTGTGTTCTCCCAGCCTCCTGTTTGTCATGCCCTCCCCAGTGGGGTGCAGCTGGTAGCTTTGAGCCCTGGTGAGACTGGATTGGGAGCACAGTCAGTTCACTGTTAGCAACAGCTTCCAGCAATTACAGACTTGCAGGAAATGCGTATTGCAGCAGGAACAGAAACGGAAGGAAAATCCCCCACCTCCTGGGAACGAGGAGAGAGAGGGGGTGGGACAGAAGGGGGAGACTGACAGGGAAGGAGAAATAAACACTGGGCGGAAGGAGTGGAAGATAAGCAGAGACCCGGCGAGAGCAGGCAGGCTGACTGGGAGCACAGCGGAGTGAGGGACAAGGGGTTATCGGCGAGAGGAGAATGAAGACCCGGAGGAGCTACTGCTGCTGCCTTGTGGTGCTTTTAGTGGCCGTGCTGGTCATCACCATCACGGTGGTGTTGGTGCAGAGACACCGGTGCTCAGGAGACAACCTGTACTCACACGCTGCTGTGGCGGCAGACTCGGAGATGTGCTCCGGTATCGGCAGGTAAGTGCGGCCGGGGGTCTACACAGCAAGACTCAATAAACAACCACCCCCCCCCCTCCAGCTCAGGGTCTGCACAGCAAAACTCAATAGACCCCCTCTTCCCAGCTCAGGGTCTGCACAGCAATATTCAATCCCCCCCTAGCTCAGGGTCTGCACAGCAATATTCAATCACCAC